AAAGAGGAAACTACTGCTGGCATAATTGTGTTACTGAACACAGTTGCAGTTAAAAGCCTTTTAAAAGTAGGTCTTTTTACATCCTTCTTCTTGATGGAAACTCTCTTTGATATCAAGTTGGATAGAAATAGCTGTTAGATAATGAAGTCTACCCACATTACAAGTCCGATCTTTACATTGACTTTCTGAATTATGGCACCGTTATTTTAAATCTCATCTCTCCCAAGATAAGATTCCTGTCCTGAAAAAGAATGACAGAAAGCAAGAAATATAGCAAATAATTGTTTCACTAAACATACTTGATATGATATTAATCCCTTGCATTTTTAAAAGAGAGAAATCCAAAAGGCATATGTGCAGTCAATTACCCAGTAGAAATGATTGCATAACATCTGAGATAAAATCAATAAACAGTCAATTAAAGGATTTACAACAACATAACTCAGCAAGTCCTAATTTCTTTTTGCATCCTATTTCTTCCCTTCCATTTCTCTAATATTCAATAGTTTCTTTGAATCACTACTTTTTGGAATGGCACCAACTTTGTCCCATGTTCTTTAGCTACTCTGTCACCTCGACTGGCCTTCCTAGCACCCCATTTCCCATTTCTAGACCATACAGCTACTCCTCATTTTAAGTTTCCTCACCATCTCTGATGAGGCCCTTCTTGCCTCTGTTCTTTTTCTCCTATTTTTCTTGTCTACAACAGCCTTGTTCTCCACCTATTCCTTTGTCGGAGTCTCTCTGTCAATCCCTTGACTACTTTGCACCATTTCTTTGCCTCTGCATCTGGTGACATTTAGCTTTCATATATCCTTGGCCCTCCTCTCATGTCTCAACCATGCTCTGTGTGAGATTTTAATTTTGGCCAAATAGCCAAATAGACAATTTTCCTTTCCCTCACAGAATTAGGAGAACATACTGTTAGCATCTTGAACAATTGAATGTTCTGTACCAATATACCAGTTCAGATAATCAATGGCCTTATTCCCATTTACAAATAAATCAGTTTGTGATCTGAATTGATGGATTGGTTTGACAGAGGAGCATGGTTCACACTACATTTGCCCTGATCGCATTTTCTTGTTGTAAAATAACCCACTTGTCGTTCACATTGACAAATGAATCAATTCAAAATGGACCCTCTTAAGCCGACTGGCAAATTTAAAGGGCAAATTTAATTGATTCCGATAGTCATCCTGTTCACACTTGTGCTGAATTGATTTATTGCAAAAAACACAGAAAAATGAGTGTCAAATAGTTTCGTTGAAAGTTCTTTTGTCATCCAGCCCGGTTTCTTGAGACACCTCCCATTTTCCCTTCTCATTGGAACAGTTTGAGATTGTGCCTTCAGTATCTCCCATTTGAGAAACTCCCATCCATCCTGAACTCTCTTCTCCTTTAGTATTCCTGACCACGGGATCACTCCCAGTGTTTCCCTAAGTTTGTTGAAATCAGCTCTCCTAAAATCTAGAATGAGTGTCTGACTATGCCTAGCTTCTCCTTTCCACTGTATAAGGAACTCCAGGAGAACATGATCATTCCCACCTAAGGATCCCACCACTTGCACCCCATTTACCAGGTCACCCCTGTTAGTTAGGATCAGATCTAAAATAGCTGATCCCCTTGTTGCCTCTTCCAACTTTTGGACAAAGAAATTGTCTTTGAGGCAAGCGAGGAATTTGCTAGACCTTGAAGTATTGGCTGAGTTTGACTTCCACAAATATCAGGATAATTGAAGTCAGCCATCACTACTACATCTCTCCTTTCTGAGTGTGTGGTCATCTGTTCTAGAAAGGCATCATTCAATTCCTCAGTCTGACTTGGGGGTCCGTAGTAGACTCCTACAATAACATCCCTGTTGTTTCCTTCCCCTTTAATTTTTATTCAGATGCTCTCCACCTGATTTCCAGGATTTAAGTCCTGGATCCCTTCACAGGTGTAAACATCCCTGACATATAATGCTATTCCTCCTCCTTTCCTGTTTGGCCTATTTCTCTTTAAAAAGGTTATACCCCTCTATTCCTACATTCCAGTCATGAGACTCATCCCACCAGGTTTTAGTGATGTCTATTATATTGTATTTGCTTTGTTGTGCTAGGAGCTCAAGTTCATCTTGTTTAATTCCCATGCTCTGTACATTAGTGTAGAGACATCTAAGAACATGTGTCCTCCCCACTTGCTGCCTGTGTGAAGTTTTTTGCTTCCCACTGTTGGGCCCTTGCATCATTACCTTGTTCCCTCTATAACACTTTGACTATTATCTCCAGCCCATGATGTACTCCTGCCTTCCAAGATACCTTCCAAGATACTGTCTCCCTCCCCAACATGACTCAGTTTAAAGCCCTCCTGATCAAATGTTTGAGACTATTGGCAAAAATATTTCTGCCAACTGGTGTGAGATGCAGCCCATCTCTTGCTAGAAGTCCACCCTCATGGAACCACAGCCCATGATCCAAGAATCCAAATTGTTCTTGGCAGCACCATCTACTGAGTCAGTTATTCACATCTGCTATCTTCCTCTCCCTTCCTGGACCATGCTTTTCAACTGGGAGAAGAGATGAGATAACAATCTGTGCATCGAGCTCTTTCAGCTTCCTACCCAAAGCCTCATAATCCCTTCTGATATTCTGAAGACTATGCCTTGTAGTATCATTGGTTCCCACATGGACCAAGAGGAAGGGGTAATGGTCAGTAGGCTTGACAAGCCTTGTCAGCCTCACTGTCACATTATGGATTTTTGCCCCAGGGAAACAATACACCTCCCGGGACATCTTGTCAGGTCCACAAACCACTGCTTCTGTACCCCTCAACAAGGAGTCCCCACCATCACCACCACACACGTCCTCTGAGGCCTAGCAGTGGCTGTTCCCTGCAGTTGTATTCTTAGGGTCCCTTGCACTGTCCCTGAGGACTGTCCCGGCTGCTCTTCCTCTTCATCCTTGAT